GTTTTAGTTTTTTTTCAAAAGCCTGGCCTCCTTGATCCCTTTATTTTAAATTGTAGTGCCTGTTTGGCTGTTGGCTGTTCGTTTCTTTTCCGGATGTGTCCAGTGTAGAACCATCTTCTTCGTTTTACAACCCAGTAGGTTTAGGCAGATTTATTCACATAATTATTCTCTTCATTACCTGCCGCACTGATACGTTGGGGGAGGGGGGTTCACAAGATTACTTGTTTCACATCAGGTCAGGGACGCCAGCATCCAAAAAATTAAGGATGATTGGGTGGGGGTGGGGGGGGGGGGGGTTGGGGTGGCGAACTGCCTCGTCTCTTTTATAAATTATACATTTTTGGGGGTTGGGAGGGGGGGGGGCCTTAGCTTGGTTATAATAATGCTGTTCATAATAATGATAATGTGATGAACGATAAAAAAAAATATAATATATTTGAAATAATATTTATTGTTATTATGAAGTGTAGAATGTTACTAAAAATATTGTTAACAATTTATAATATATTTGAAATACTATTAAATTTGAAACAAAAATACTTGAAAGATAACTTCTGTGCGTGACGGGTGGGCTAGATGGTGACGAGCTTAGTCCCTTTACGAATTTTTCCATAAACTGGCTGGCAGGGAGGGGCAATGTGCCTGAGCTCACAGTTCCAGTGCCCCTGCAATTATTATTATTATTATCATTGTTATTTTTATTGTTATTTTTTACTTAATGGCATATATTCTTCATCTTCTTCGAATTCACTGATTGAAACTTCGGTGGAAAGTCCTGGTTGTTCGTCCACTTGTGGACTTGAGTCTTGTTCCAGAACTTGAGTTTTGTATGCGCGTCCATTTTACAGATCTAGTTCATGTGTATGCAGACTGTTAGGTCCTCGCATCTCAGGCATACGCACTCTGACTTCGAAGGAAAGACCCCAAATTAGTCAGATTTTACAATGTGCTTGTTATGGGGCAGTGATCTATTAACTCCCACTCCCGCAATTGGGCTCGGGAACCCACACGAGGACATGGAAAAATATATATAATGATATATTTGAAATAATATGAAATGTGAACGCTAATACTTAAACAGAGAAAACGTTTAAACCATGGCTGGGAGGGAGGGTACACTAGAGACCCATTACAGTTTCTAGGGGTGAGCCTCACTCTACCCCCCCCCACACACACACACACACACACACCCAGTGTATTGGGGCTCCCTATTTAAAAATTTGAGACAGGGGGGCCTCACAATGTTTGATCCTCCAGATTCCAGTGTCTATGTATTTACTAACGCAAGATCTAATAGTGGAACTGTGATGGGGGTTCTGTTTGGGCATTTCTGCCCTGGCTCGTGCACTTAACTGTTCGGATTAAGCAGCCACACGCGGATATACTTCTACTAATTTGGGAACCTAATATTGATCATAAAACTTCGTAGCAGAAGCAATAAATCAATTTTATCTCTGAACCATATCTGGAACTACACCACACAAACTGGCAAAAGCACTTAGTTGCTACACGTAACAAGTTTTACTTTTAACAGTCAATCACTGTGATGACACACCAGCTAAAGTTGTGCTCACAGGCGCTGGAAACCTGGAGGCCCAGCCATCTTGACATCCCCCCCTAGTTAACTGTAAGGAGATGAGTATCACCGATCCCATGTTGTCAATGTGTAGTCGCCCATGAATGTGCGATCCCTTTCCTTCTCTGTACCAAATCTGAAACAATTCATTCTGACTCTATTTCATGATGTATCGATTGTATGCTTCGGTCGTCAATGAGTTTACGGCTGCCAGATATCCGGATTTACAGCCTCGAGAGGAATAAATGAGACCAAGTGATAGGAGAGAACTTGGGTCATTGTGGCAAATAAAGCTGGCAACTGGAGATTTGGTGTTCATGTAACGTTTCTAGCCAGGTTTTCTGTTGTATATTTTTAATTGTTTTCGAGGCTTGTCACGTGATATAATAGAGTTAACAGCGCTAATATTAAACCATACCATCTTAAATGTATACCACTATATAAGATTATTATTATTATTATGTATGAAAGTTATCAAGGAATAATCATTATATTTTATGCATTCTAACAGTAATGTCCTGCCCCCCCCCCCCTCCCCCAAACTCAACCGTAAAATTTGTTATGCCAGGAATGCTCAGAAAGTAAGCACTTCCCCGCTTCCACTCCACCCCATCCCCCCTCCCGCCCCGCTCCCCTAAACGCCACTTTTCTTCTTAGCCAGTAATGAAGATTTAACTAAACAAAAACATTTTGCACACGTAAAATTCGAATTGTCAATATTGTATACACGAAATGTTTCTACATTCCGACCAGAACAGCTGCTCTAATCTATTCAAATGGCTAGCTGAGACAATGGGCGTTACATACACTGAACTGTTAAATTTGTTTCTAGCTGTTGAAGCAAAAACTGTGGTGAACATACATAAACGTTTGTGAGATTACAGTGAAGTTGTACAGTCAATAGGAGCACTGTCTGTCGCTAGTTTAAGAGAGCCGAAACTAAGAAAGTGGAGAGACAGACATGAGGATGTTATTTATTCTGTGACGAAATGGTTAACAGGATAAAACCTGATAGAGGCAAAGTTTGGATACCCTTATTTCGCATTGGCTACAGTCATAGAAGTAGACGAAGATTATATACAAAACTGTGTAAAAGACATTACACAACTGTGTAAAGAACATAATGAGTTATTTTGTGTGTGAGTGAATTTTATATATTCAGTGCCGTATTTAGGATGTATGACGATTCTGTGCAGTCATTTGTTTCACACCTTATTATTTCCCACCCCGCCGCTTAACTCTCGCATTGCTTCTTGTTTAGACTAGCAACAATTAAATTACATCAGTTTTTTTTTTTAGGTGTGTGTGTGTGTGTATTTTGTATGTTGCTAATATTTTTGTAAGTCCGTTTTACATTCGTTGCCGTTTCTGAGTGTTATTGTGTTATTGTGGTGTTGTTTGTTTGTTAGTGCGCTCAAATTCTATTCAAAGAACAAACAGAAGAGGGGGGGGGGGGGCGCCACAAAGGGAGAAAAGTTAAAGTTCGGGGGTGGGGGGAAATAAAGAGAGAGGGGACTCCACTCATTTATTCCTCCAATCGTCTGCAGCTAGAGATGATTCCGTCATCCTTGATTGTTCTGTCTCTTCCGATGCATTTCTGTGCGTATGTTACTTGTCTTCCTATTCTTGAGGGCACTGCTAGAAGCAGATGGCACCTAACACAATGGCTCTTATTCTTGGCATGTGAATATGTAGTTGTCAGTCCCTCAAAATCTGGGCATATTATATCTTTGAGGTGAGGCGCTGTATCTTCCTCTTCTGAGCTGCATGAAGACTCGTCTTTCACTGCAGCTGCGTCAACGTTGCTGGTTTTTCCTGGAGTTCCCTGCTTGTGTGCTTTATTGTCTCTTTTTGGGGCTGTTGCTGCTGGTGACGTCTCATCTGAGCTGACTTTTTGGCGGTTTCTTTTCTTGTCTTTTCTCTTCTTTTTGCGTCCGGTCTGCGTGTCCTCCTCGCCGTTGAGGACTGTGTGCTTGTTAGGAAAACCTCCTTCTGCGTACTGTCCTCCAACTTTTTCCGGGATAGATGGTCTTCCTCCTGAATAAGTATCGTCACTGGCTCGAAGCGTCTTCTCCTTGTTGGGAACTTGTTTGCCCAGTGGTCGGTCTGCTCGCAATATGAACAGTTAGTCCGCCTTCCTGGCACTGTGATCCAGAGCTGATGTCGGCCTCCAGGCAGCTGCGGGTTCCTCGTATTCACATAATGAGGAATCGGCTTTTTCTCCTTCACTAAGGCGTACCATCTGTCTTTGCCGTATCTGGCTTGATATACTTCTGGATCGTCGTCGCCTGTTATCCCTTCCGTTATCTTCTTGGCTGTCTGCTCGGTGGTCGTAATTGGCATCCAGTGCATGCAGACTTTTGTTTTTTTGTTTGTCTAGGTGCTCTAGATGTACGTCCACACCTTCAATGGTCGTCCGCACATTGTGAAGTTTGTCAAAATGTGCCTTGTGTGCTTCTCCTGTAAGAGTGTGAAACCACTCCGTGGGATTGGTGTATCGATACAGCTCCGCAATGCCGTAGATAGGCACCCGAGTGGGCCTATTAATACGCTGGTCAACCAGGCAGGCTTTGCCCTGGAGGCGGAATCAGCACCGGACAAGGACATAACAATAGTACTACCTGTCCGGTGAATCCTTCCTTCAGGGAACGCATCCATTGGCATGTCCAGGTCCATGGTGGTGACGGCTGTTGCAGGCTGCATCTTTAGAGTGGCTGTGGCTGTTGGTGGTTCTGTTGTTCACTCGACGTCTCGGCAGGTCATTCTTTAGAAATGATCCCTAAAAATACTTCAGTTTTATAATGTATGAAACTATTTAAACTTAACTGAAAAAGAACAGATAAAACAAACGTGCACATTGGGGTCCTAGTGGGGCAGAGTTGCGGAGTACAAAACAAAACTTTCGTAATGATAACAGCAATTAGTAGTAGTAGATTTTTACTCCACTCGGAGGACACAAGCAATAAACACCCGATGACACAAAGTGCCACCATGTGGATGAGGATAACCGTGGAGAGGTCCCAGAAACCGCGTTCAGCCATTAGACCATATTTATGGTCGGGCTAACGGCCTTCTTTATTTATACAGGCGGACCTGGTCGGGCTATATTGCGGCCCCTGACAGGAGCCAGAGTAGGGCTTCAAATAACGAAAAATTGCATCTCACAAGGGGATGACTAGATGGACTGATAACAGCAACAAAGATTTTGACACTTTTTTGAAAACTACTAGTTATATTTTTGCAGCCCACAAAGTGTAACTACCCCTTGCGGCTGCACATATATAAATACGAAGGTGCATAATTTGCGAGAGAAACAAATGAGGGACATTGTTTTTTGAGCGCCCCCTCCCTTCCCCCGTATATCTTCTTTTCATTATCCTTGCAGTTTAATACATTTCAATATAATTTATTCACAGGACTCTCAATGACACAGTATACGCCTGCCCACTATTGCCTGATTGGATTAAGTGTACTAGTTATTGTTTCATTCTTTGTGGGTTTGGTCTACCTCATCGTTCGAGAACACTTTAAAAGAACTGAAGCCAGGAAACAGCAGTGGAAGGTGCAGTGCTTCACACTGTCTTCATTTTTTGGGGGGTCAAAACAAAGCTCTCTTTCTCTCCTCCTGCTTCTTCTTCTTCTTCTTCTTCTTCTTCTTCTTCTTCTTCTTCTTCTTCTTCTTCTTCTTCTTCTTCTTCTTCTTCTCCTCCTCCTCTTCTTCTTCTTCTTCTTCTTCTTCTTCTTCTTCTTCTTCTCTTCTTCTTCTTCTTCTTCTTCTTCTTCTTCTTCTTCTTCTTCTTCTTCTTCTTCTTCTTCTTCTTCTTCTTCTTCTTCTTCTTCTTCTTCTTCTTCTTCTTCTTCTTCTTCTTCTTCTTCTTCTTCTTCTTCATCTTCTTATTATTATTATTTTCCTTCTCCTACTCCAATTTCAGTTAATAACAATTTAATATAAACTTTTTTTTTTTTTTTTTGAGTGTGTGTAAAATGCGCTAAACATTGCCATGAACTTCGATGACTGTGGCTGAATTGGGTTAAAAGGAATTAACAAGAAAAAAATGGATTGGAGAACTTGACTGTCAGCACTATGTGACGCATCTTGACAAGACAGGATGATGATGTTGATGATAATAGTAAAGCGTGTTTATTCATACGGGATTGTCTTCATGTCAGATTCTATGGTCTTCTACTTCTTCTTCTTCTTTCGTTCGCTTGAAATAGATTCTCTATAACTGCAATGTTGTCTCTAGTATGAACCCCACTGTCTTTTGTAATTCACTCAGAGACCCGTATAAAGTTTGACTTGCACCGGTGTTTCTCTTGGCCACAAGTTTTGCCTTGATATGTTGTTTTTGGAAGTCGTGGAGGACATGATCTGTTGTCTCAGGTGCCAGTCCACATGTACACACGGCTGATTTGCTGATTTTAAATGTTGTGTACATGTGGCTGCGAAGTTGATTGTGTCCTGTTTTAAATGCGTAGAATAATAACTTGCTCTGGTCTGTCCATAAATGTTAATCGTCTTGTGCCTGTTTTGGTGGCTTTCTGCTCTGATATATCTGATTATTCTCTTCTTTTGTTGATAAGAGACTGGTTCGACAAACTGTTCTTTGTTTGCACCTTCCTTAGCTAGTTTATCAGCTCTTTTATTTCCAGAAACTCCACAGTGGGATGATATTCATTGCAGTCACCTTACATCGGCTGCCTAGTTTGGAGACTAGTGTCACATATCACTCCTGTCGCGTGCCTAATGTAAGGATTTCTCCTTCAGAACCCACAGCACTCAGAGATAATTATGTTGAGTCGTTTGGCTCGTATTGGTCTAAGGGATTCCCCGTGGCCAATATACGATCAACTTATCTCTGGAGTAGGGCAACTCAAGTATTGGCACTACAAAATATGTCAGTATATATATAATATTTCTAGGCACACTTGGCTGGACACCCCCACTACTTACTAAAGAAAGCCCCCAGGTTATGATAATTCATTATCATAACCATGTTAACACATATAATGAAGATACACATACATACACAACTGCTAAACACTTAAAAACGTGAAATAGAGACACCTAAGTCAGCCATGAAAATGAATGTATGTAATCAATATAAATTAGATATATAAAAGTGAGACAAATGCCAGATCTCAGGATATCATGTCCAAATCACAAAGATACTACACAGACAGAAGGTCTTGGAGATGACATCTTCTCATCACTGGACACAAGGAGCTGTGAGGAACACAACATCATGCGAAGCATCAGACTTATCTTCTCTTCTTTCTGTCTATGATGCCTCCCTCAGCTCCGGATGATTCGACTGTCTTTGACTCTGGGAATTCTGCTCCACTGGATCAAGTAGTAAGAGTACTTCACTATATAAGACGCAGCAACTGTACCGGTATTTAGCAAGTCTCTATCACCAGTAAGGACACACAATGTCTTTGAGCCACATTAAGCTCTAGCACTGGTAGCTGTTTGAGGCACCATCTCCCATATGTTGGAGATGTCAGGAACCTTCACAGGTGTTAGCTGGTGGGTAACAAGTTGTTTCTGGTGGTTTGATGGTTGGTGGATGTTGGTTGGACTGTGAATCTTCTGCCAGCTCTTCAGAAAATATACATCCTGTCAAGAAAATAACTCAACATTAGTCATCACCAAGAGGGTAACATCTTGACAGGAAAGACAGAGTAAGCATCAGTCATCAACCCCCATCTGCTGACTCCTCCCTGCTCTCCTGTTTCATTCCTCAGATTGCCTCTCCAGACCAAAAGACATAAGTCTCCTATATTTATCTGTCTGTTTAGTGCAAGAGAAGGCAAGTCAGATATACAGTGGAGATAGATAAAGTGGTCTAACACATATATCACTCTCCCTCTCCCCCTCACTCTGCACACAGACACCAATATTTACTGTCAGTACCTGCGTTCACTAGCTTTCCCAACCGCCCCAGCACTCATTGATCTGGGTCAAGCACACACATACTTTGATTAACAAAGCCCTGACCTAATTCTGTCCCCATTTCGTATGTACAGATTCTCTAGTAGTTTCAAACGTACATCTTTGTAAGGGTATTAAATTTTACCATTATGGGTGGTTTATTGAGGGCATAAGTTATTTAGTCTGTACAGTGGGAGATCTACGTTCGAATCCGCTACTCTAGCGATCAAGAACGGTCGAACTAAGTGAGATAACACAGCCGATACTGATTTCTCTACAGCAGTGACTACTTTACAGACATCATTCTAGGTACTCGTAAACTATAATTAACTTACCCAAGCATATGTAAAAACTGAGACATTCCAAATTGCCTTGAAAAGTGAAATTTATACAGGCACAGATTAACACATCTGGACGCTTGAGAAGCTGGCAAGGAGAATAGCGTCACTTAGACACTTCAGGCGTTGGTACAAAAGAAGTTCCTTGTATACTGGGGCAAGGAGTAAATCGGTTTCCAAGAAACCTCAAATAACTCCCTAAATATATCTCCAAGAGATATACATTTAAAAGTGGAGTTTAGTTAAAGTAACCAGAAAAGGCAGACATAATAATGTTGTCCAATACAGGCCTATATATATAGATATAAGGGACTATATATTTCTGGGCGAGTTCAAGTTTGAATTTTGTGCAGATTACAGGTAAGACAGGTTATCAGCCTTACAGACCGATGCGTAATGGCTATCATTTCACGACAACTAGTGTTTGTATGCCAGGTAGTTTTCCAGGTTGGAGTGCCTGAAGCACCGCTCTTGCATCTGTCAGAAATAACACGGGCTGTGAAATATGACATATATTTAACAGTTTCTCTGCTGCTATATATTTTGATGGCTTGAACTTCTGCATAATAGTTGTGACAGTGCTTTCCTGTAGGTATTTTGGCTGTATATCTGGCATTATTTGGATACTCAATATACACTCCCGCTCCTCCATTTCTGCTTACGTTTTGCGCTGACCCATCGTATAAACACGAATCCAAAGATTTGGGTATTCGTCATCAAATAGAGTGCAGGTGGCTGTTTCCCGTTACATACTGTTTTGTTCTTCCTTTCACTTATGTCTGTCTGTCTGTCTGTCTATCTATCTATCTATCTATCTATCTATCTATCTATCTATCTATCTATCTATCTATCTATCTATCTATCTATCTATCTATCTATCTATCTATCTATCTATCTATCTATCTATCTATCTATCTATCTATCTATCTATCTATCTATCTATCTATCTATCTATCTATCTATCTATCTATCTATCTATCTATCTATCTATCTATCTATCTATCTATCTATCTATCTATCTATCTATCTATCTATCTATCTATCTATCTATCTATCTATCTATCTATCTATCTATCTATCTATCTATCTATCTATCTATCTATCTATCTATCTATCTATCTATCTATCTATCTATCTATCTATCTATCTGTCTGTCTGTCTGTCTGTCTGTCTGTCTGCCTGCCTGCCTGCCTGCCTGTCTGTCTGTCTGTCTGTCTGTCTGTCTGTCTGTCTGTCTGTCTGTCTGTCTGTCTGTCTGTCTGTCTGTCTGTCTGTCTGTCTGTCTGTCAAAGAGGAGGAGGAGTAGTAGTAGTAGAAAAAGAAGAAGAAGAAGAAAAGAAGAAGAAGAAGAAGAAGAAGAAGAAGAAGAAGAAGAAGAAGAAGAAGAAGAAGAAGAAGAAGAAGAAGAAGAAGAAGAAGAAGAAGAAGAAGAAGAAGAAGAAGAAAAAGAAGAAGAAGGAGGATGAGGAGGAGAAAAATGTGATGACGATGATGATGATGATGACGGAGGCGAAGAAGAAGAAAAGAAGAGGAGCAGCTGGTTGCAGCTATTATTTTACAAATCATTGGTATACAAATGTTACTAGTTAGGTGCAGCGGTATTTTAATTATATGTTCTGTCTTATTTCACATACTTCTACTTAATAGATTACAGTTCGGGGTTTCCCTTCCACAGAATATGCTGCAGCGACGAAGGAAGGCAATCAGTGGACAGCCCAGAAGTTCAAACATGGAGGTTTTCCAGAAGAACGTTACTGAGGAATGACAGACGTCATCTACCCGTTTTTCAAACTACAAAATCTTCAGACATCCGCTGAATATCACTGCCTCTACTATGCGTTCCAGTGTTGGTGGGCGCAACTTTGTTTTTTTAAAGCTGTTGTCACAAGCCCTAATATAACACAACCTATTGGTTGAAAGGGGTTTTTTGGGAGCTGTCCCCGGTTGATACTTATCTGAATGATGGAACTTTGTGTCACTTGGTGTTTATCGCTCGGTGCGATATCCTGATGGGGTTGAGTGTCATCAACATCAGCTAAATATTATTGTCAACAAGGTCTGTAATTGAAACCTCTACGGCTGGCGAGACAAAACAGAAAATAGTTTCGTCCTAGACCTCTCAGCAGCCCCATGCAAGGAATAGCAAACAACTTAACTAAAAAAAACGACAAAGAAGACAAGGCTTTCACCATCTACCAAAATTTTACAACGCAATAAACAGTGACATCCTTTTTCAAGATCCTTCTACTGTGGGAAATGATCCAGGAATACAGAATTTACCTACGGCCTGATTATACAGTCAAAACAGCGGTCCAAGGCATGGACAGAGAGGCTGAAGACTCTTGAACATGTCAGCAGCTTTTACCCAAAGCCTGAATAGACACACGTATTCATCGATGGATCATTGGAGGAAGCAGAAAACAAAACGGAGGAGCTGGATCGGTCATCATGCTGCAAGATGGGACCACAGTTGAAACATCTTGCGCCTCCGGAAGACTCTCAACAAACTTCAGAGCAGAGCAACAGGTAATTGTTGATGCAACCAAAGTGCTTAAGGAGAGAAAAATTAAAAACAGCGAGATTGTTTTCCATTGTGACTGCATATCGGTCTTTCAGGCGACTCAAAGGGATCCACGAGACAACATGGATAGAAAGCGGAGCCGCCGGCTAGACGGACTCTCGGAAAACAACCAAATGGTTCTCTAGGAAATATACCAGGAAATGAGTTAGCAGACAGACTTGCAAAAATGGAACAAGGGACAAATGGCGCTCCCATTCATTGTCGTTACCAGAAATCAAAACACTCATCAACAAAAATGTAAGGAATTGTGACGAGAACAAACCAACAGTAAATATCCACAAGACCCTATCAGCAGATTAAAAGAAAGGAATACACAAAAATTTTCCGCCACGAACAGGACACTGCAAGCTCAGCTACCACATGCATAAAATAAAGATTGTACAGTCCCCACGGTGTGCCTGTGAAACAAGACCCACAAACACCTGAGCACATTCTGCAGACCTGCCCACTCTACATACAACTTCAAAAAGACACCTAGTCTCAAGAGCAAAGTGTGAAGAGCAAGCTATGGGGAACCATGAAGGACCTGCTACTGACATGCGAGTTCATAGAGGCAACCCACCTGATGGTCTGATCTGAGCATACGAAACCGAACGCAGAGAAGAAGAAGAAAGATGCTCTCCTTGGGTGGCCCAAACAGGGTCCACCTCTGCAGATGGGATTTGCTGAAATAACACGCAGCATTAATCTTCCTGCTGCCTGGAATTGGTAGGAATTGTTGAGGGACCATTAAAACGATTAGAAAAGCATGAGAAATATTTCAAAAAATGTCATTGACACTGCTAAGGTACTGCACCCGGGCATAATTTACACCTGAATATATTTTCGATCAACTCTAGTCTTCCTCTTGTTTTTGTGGAGGGAATACATGACTGGATCGCTAGCAGACACATTACAGGTGTATTGGGCATATAGGGATCGACCTATATTTTATAGACCAATCGGCACCTGGTGGGAGTAGTATAAGGTGTTGAGGGTAGGTATCATATCCTCACGGCTCCTTGGCTTATAAATCCCAAAAAAAGAGATGGTGGTTTGATGGAAGATCGGGTTTTTTTCTCTTATATCTCATTTGTGGTTTGGTGGATGGCTCCTGCTTTTTTTTTCTTCAGTATCTTAGTAGAAGACTTGGTGATTTGGTGGGAGGCTCGTATTTGTTTTTGATGTCGGGTTTATTTAACGGTGTGCATTCGACGGTCTTAGCCTCTGACACAAAAGCGAGAGCCTGTATTTAAATGGGTTTCCTGAATGCAGACAACATTAATCTTGTGTTCATTGATAAATTTTTGCAGTTCGAGCTTTTTCATCATGACCCCTTCTGCATTCCACTGCATTATCTTTAGTGTTTTGGTATTTTAATGGCCCGGACTCATTACTCTGCTTAATCCTGGTCTGCCGGTGCGCAGTAGTTTTCCGTGGATTCCTTGGAGGCTCGGAATTCGGTGCTGTTCCCACCTGGCAGTAGTCCACAGGAGCAGCCCCATAAAGGTGTAGGTATCTAAACATACTCATTAACCGTAGACTGCGCTGATGTCCGTTTCCATTTCTGGGCGCACACGCCATGCAGGCCGACATGTCCATCTTCGGTATGGGAAGTTACGGAGTCTTCCTGTTCGTGTCCTGGTTCATCTTTACACTGCCTACCAGAAATCAAAGGTTGTGGGGTTTTCCCTTTTCCCTTCTCCCTGGGTGTGACCTTGGTGCGAATTGGGACATGTCCACGTGCCGGTGGTCCCAACATCGGCCGCCCTTCACAGGGGTCGCACTCCACCGAGGGTTTCTCTCTGGCCTACCGCCACCTGGTATTTTAATGCTTCAGGCTTCAGGTGTCAATTTTGTTAGCGATGGAGACTCGCTATGCGCCAGAGCCGTGCCTATTACAACAACTCGGAATTCTGAAAAAGCACAGTAATTCACACATGTTGAAAAGATAGTAATTCACACATGCTGGAAAGACAGTAATTCACACACACATGCTAGGGGAAAAACAGTAATTCATACATTCTGGAAAGACAGTAATTCACACATACTGGAAAGACAGTAATTCCCACATTCTGAAAAGACAGTAATTCACACATTCTGGAAAGATTGTAATTCATATATGCTGGAGGGAAAACAGTATTTCGCATATGCTGGAAAGATGTAATACACGCATGCTAAAAAAATAATTCACACATGCTGAAAAAAAAACATTAATTCGCACATGCTAAATATACAGTAATTCACACATGCATTAAAGACAGTAATTCACATATGCTGGAAAGACAGTTATTCACATAGGCAGTAAACAGTAATCCATACATGCTGAAAAGATTCATTCATTCATTCAGTAGCATGTCCCTCGCGGAACCTCGCTGCCATAACAACCCTCCGGAAAACCTTCCTATCATGAGCAAGATGTCCTGCGTCTGATACACCCATCTGGAGATCATCTGCCACATCCTGCACCCATCTTCTCCTTGGCCTTCCTCTTCCTCTCTTCCCAGGCATATACCCCTCCATTATTGTTCTCTCTAGACCTCCATGACGTTTCAAGTGACCAAAATATTTCAATTTTCTTTGTTTTATTGTCTTTACTAGCCAACCCTCTTCAATATTCAGCTCTTGAAGTATGGATGCATTTGTTCTTTTCTTTAACCCAAGATATTCTTAGAACCTGTCTGTAACATTTATATTCAAATGCATTTTATGCGCTGTTCCGCTTGTTTAGTAAGTGTCCAGGTCTCACAGGCGTATGTTGCAATGGGAAAGATGCATGCTCTTAAAAATCTGACCTTTGTAATTCTATCTGTACAATTCCATAATTTATTCAGTGTTTTTAGTCTTTGAAGAGCAATTGATAGTCGCCGTTTAATTTCTTTCATTGTGTCACCATTGTTTGGTAACCAGTGACCCAAGATATTCGAAATTTTCCACCACTTCCAATCTTTCCTCATTAACATATATTTCCTTCTCCATGGCAGTTTTGTTTGTATGCATTATCTTTTGTTTTTGCTGTGTTAAGAAATAAGTTATGATTTTCACTATTTCTTTGGAGTGAGGTTAATAAGTTTTCTAAACCATTTTGTGATGTTGATAGTAATACTGTATCATCAGCATAACGAATTTCTGGTATTTCATGACCACCGATGTTTAGGGCATCATATTGTTCCTTGTTTATATCATCTCTTACATTTCTCATTATATTTTCGGCGTACAGGTTGAACAAATACGGTGACAGCACACATCCCTGACGGACTCCTTGCTTGATGCCAAACCAGTCTGATGTCTCTCCATCTATTCTGACTGCTGCTTGTTGGTCTTGATAGAGCATTTTAATGAGCTGCACTATATGTGATGGAAAGCCCCATATTCCTCATGATTTCCCAAAGCTTCTGAACACAGTCAAAATGCTTTTGAATAATCCAAAAACATAAGAACAGATTTACATTAAATTCTCTACACTTCTCTATTATTAAACGCTGAAAAGATAGCCATTCATATATGTAATAAACACAGTAATTCATGCATGCTGAAAGAGGGGGGAGGGAAGGATGAAGAGGAGAAGACAGAAGAAGAAGAAGAAGAAGAAGAAGAAGAAGAAGAAGAAGAAGAAGAAGAAGAAGAAGAAGAAGAGAAGAAGAAGAGAAGAAGAAAGAAGAAGAAGAAGAAGAAGAAGAAGAAGAAGAAGAAGAAGAAGAAGAAGAAGAAGAAGAAGAAGAAGAAGAAGAAATAAAAGAAGTCATAGGTGTGCCAGATCGACTGAACTTATAAATGGTAAAGGAAAATATCATGGGAAGTAAAGACGGCCGATGTTGTTATTGACCACTTCATCGACAATTGAATGCTGAGTGGTCATAAGACAAACGGAAGGGAAGAGATTTTTTTTAGGGGGGGGGGGACAGGTAACACAAAACAAGGCAAGACAAGGGCAGCTGCAAGAGTGGCACAGAAAAGGCATGACATGGCGATAATTGGGTGATTGTCTACGCTCCACTGGCATATAAGAGCATAAGAATCTTGAGAAGAATGGTTGCTCTAGGAGGTCAGCAGTTAAACTTACTAACAAGTGATTAATCTTGAGAAGAATGGCTCTAGGAGGTCCGTAATTAAACTTATTATGATGTCACTGATTCAAATTTGTTGGTGTTGTGAACCAAGGTTGGTTGCACCCAGCGTTTGATGTCGGCTTTGCGAACCTGAAA